ATTCGATGCCACAGAGCTGAGGAAAGGAAAACAAATTCATTATTGACCACATGATGGGAACGTGCATATTGCAGAGACTGAGACTGGAAAACAGCCCATCTGTTTGGTTGTGTTTTTTCAATTGGCTAATCATTGTTAAACTGATTTAGGTGCCCACTATAACTTCATGTCCACTTCCGTTTATAACTTTTACCAACATGTGAAAGCCAAAAGGGGAATTTAACAACAACTACTAGTAATAAGGATGACGAGGTACATAATACTGTTGGATTCATAAAATCAAGTGTAATAGTTAAATCTAAGGGCATGAAAACATTCCCAATAGAAATGTTTTTTTATGGGCAGGACACTCTTTACCTCTTCAAGGAAATCTAAAGTATCTTTGATGGACAGGTAATATATCTATAATAATAATAGGGAACAGAATCTAACCTGCTTAGAAAGACACATAGTGAAAAAGAGGACAGATTTAGGCCATAGTCTTTGAAAAGTTGGGTTCAAGTATTTAATTGAATCCAATAGGAGAATTTGTCTATGGTAGGTATGTATAAAGCACAATTTTTTCCAGTGAAAGGTCAAATGAAGCTGTAATTTTGCATTTCTGTTTTGTTACTTGCATTGTATCAGATTTTAACAGGTGACTTGGCTTAGAGACATAGTATTACAATTTGGACACTTACTACGCAACGCGCCTCAGCATGTGTTAGCTTGTCTTTTTTTAGTCACGATCTTGGGAGGCATTTACTGTGATATGTTGGAAAGAGCAATATGGCAGCAAACCAACATACCTTAAGAATTGCTAGTCCTAATTCTAGTCTTGGACTTTCCGTCATCACCCATGATTAAAAATTCATTATGCTCTTTGCCTGTTTACCGTGAGGGGTAGAGATGCAGTAATAGTATGTAGAGGTGCGCTCTGGAAAACTGTTGAACCACCGTGTACTGTGATGTATTTAAGACATGTGATTCTCTTGGGCATTTTACCATTAAGGAAAAGAATGGGCCAATTGATTGTCATAGATTCTTCAGGAAGGGGAAAAAATCAATGATGCATAAAGGAAAAGGTGGCTGTACGATTATACCCAGGCTTTTGGAATTGCAGTGATTTTAAAAATGTTCTAGATTTTTTGATGTAAAATAACACTAAAATTACCATTCAGGACCATTTTTATGGTGTACAATTTCTATTTGTGGCATTAGTGACATTCATAATTTTGTGCAAACATCCATCACTGTCCATCAGTTCCCAAACAGAAACTACAACCTCATAAATAGTGACTCCCGCATTTTCTCCCCTCCACACCCTGGGCAACTAACAGCTCTCTCTGATGGAAATTTGGCCTATTCTAGCGGTACGGGTCATGATTAAGTGGAATGTGATAGATATTTGTGACTGACTTATCTTCACTTTACCGATAATGTCTTCTTTCTTCAGCTGATTTGTGATATGTTGACTTATTCACTTATCAGAACTATGTTTTCAAGGGTTCATCTAGTGTTGTACGCACAAATATAAGAAATTTCATTACGTTTTTAAGAGATGCGGTGGATATTCTGTAGTTGTTTATATATACCATCAGACATACCGTTGTTGTATTGTATTTATTATATTTATTTATTATTTATTTATTTATTGTATTTATTTATTTATTGTTTTCTACTTAAATTTTAATAGTGCAGTGTTCAATTTTAAAAGTATTTTAGCATCATCTCATTTGAAAAGTTTACTATCTCGTTATAAGACAATCTTATTTCTTATTGTTAGTTGGTTTATTGTAGATAATTTACCAAATATCTTGCTGTCTTCAGCAGTGGAGCAACAGAGTTCTTCTGACCCAAAATAGCATTGTAGGTTAAAAACAAAGTCAGGCTGGCTGAATTTGCCTTCCTTTACCTCTTATCTGAGGATGGACTGATCTTCATTGAATCCCAGAGCTGCGGCACCAAGAGATTAATTTCAATCAATCTTTCGTGATGACAGTTGGAGCGGGTTGCCGGTGAATGGTCCAAAAGTCAACTGTACAATCATATCAGGGAGCCGTTCTTGCTGGTGGATTTCCATGGCTGTCATTCCTAGGCACTCTGCATCACTGAGTGGTAGGGACTCCTTCAAAGAGTAAGGTAGATGATGTTAGCCCGATTGTGATTCTGGTAATTTTGCAGCACATGCAGAATCATATCATTCGTAGATAGCTCGAATCCAGCGATACTCATAGTCTCAGCACTTGCAATGGTATTAAGAGAGAAGATGGGTTTTTCTTCTGTCTTATAGGAGATGACAGATCTGAAACGATTAAAGATGATAGAGCCTTCATCAAACTCATATCCAGAATTTAGTAACTCAAGGGCAACGACTGACGCATCTCCAAAAGTAGGGGGCTTTCTGCCCACTTCTTTGAACGCCACCAGAAACTGGTCAGAATGAGTCCTATAAAGTATGCCCCTGATTTTTTCACCAATTCCAACAATCATAATAACTTCTTTCCCGGTTGCTGTGAGCGAAGCCACCTCAGTTTTCATCTGCTTGGCAACTGAGGAATGGATGGCACCACAAAGCCCTCTATCTGAGGACACACCAATGATGAGGTGCTTCTTCTTGTCTTCAGGCACCTTAATATCAGCTTTTTCGTAAAGAGCCAAAGATCCTGTTCCGTACACTCGAGCTGGTTTCAGATCCCTCTCAACTCGGGCATATTTTGCTGCTGCTACCATTTTCATAGACTTGGTAATTTTCTGGATGTTCTTGATGGACTTCAGTTGCCTGGTAATATCTTTCAAAGTTGCCATATTTCAAACTTGGACCCAACCGCGCTGAAGGTCACTCAGACAGGCCTCACGGCGCATGCGCGGACATACATACGTTTTTAAAAATCCATTCATCTATTGGTGAACATTTGGGTTCTTTCCATCTTTTGGCTTCTGTGAATAGTGTTACGATGAGTGTGTAAGTATCTGTTTAAATCCCTGCTTTCATCTTCTTTGTGCATATACCTAGAAGTGGAATTGTTGGATCATATGACAATTTTATGTTTAACTTTGTGAAAGACCACCAAACTGCTTCCTGAAATATAATGATTTTTGTAAGGCAACATTCACTACACTTTTTCTGACCTTTGAGCCAAAGTTTAAAAATTCAAGAATCACGTTATATTTTCGGGTGATTTTATATTGAGGGCTTATTGCAAAACTAAGAAGGTAGTATGTGGTTTGTTAGTTAACAACTTTTTTTTTTTTTTATTCCAAGAATGAAAAACAAGCACCACATATACTCACCAGCAAACTGGTATTTTTTTTTTTTTTTTTTTTTGAGACAGAGTCTCGCTTGTTGCCCAGGCTAGAGTGAGTGCCATGGCGTCAGCCTAGCTCACAGCAACCTCAAACTCCTGGCTCAAGCAATCCTGCTGCCTCAGCCTCCCAAGTAGCTGGGACTACAGGCATGCGCCACCATGCCGGCTAATTTTATATATATTAGTTGGCCAATTAATTTCTTTCTATTTATAGTAGAACGGGGTCTCGCTCTTGCTCAGGCTGGTTTTGAACTCCTGACCTCGAGCAATCCGCCCGCCTCAGCCTCCCAGAGTGCTAGGATTACAGGCGTGAGCCACCGCGCCCGCTTAGCAAACTGGTATTACTGAGCGGCACCTAATGGACACATAGGTACTACAGTAATAGGGTATTGGGCAGGGGGCGGGGCGGGGGCGGG